GCAGCACTTTGTGAACCTCCATGCGCAGATTTCGTGGCAGGCGCAGCGCTTTGTGAACCTCCATGTGCAGATTTTGTGGCAGGCGCAGCACTTTGTGAACCTCCATGTGCAGATTTCGTGGCCGAACCTCGACGGGGAAGCTCCACGGAACGACGGTTGCGAGACGGTCTCGGGTCATGGTCGGATCATGGTCGGATCATTCTCGGAATCGTCCCTCCATTGTGATTAGAGTTTTCACTTAGTTTCTTGGCGCCCAGATGTCGTGGCAGGCACAGCACTTTGTGAACCTCCACGTGCAGATTACGTGGCAGGCGCAGCGCATTTGTGAAGCTCCATGCGCAGATTTCGTGGCAAGCGCAGCACTTTTTGAACCTTCATGCGCAGATTTCGTGGCAGGCACAGCGCTTTAATTTGTGAACCTCCATGTGCAGATTTCGTGGCAGGCGCAGCACTTTGGGAATCTCCATGTGCAGATTTCGTGGCAGGCGCAGCGTTTGTGAACCTCCATGTGCAGATTTCGTGGCAGGCGCAGCGCGTTGTGAACCTCCATGTGCAGATTTCGTGGCAGGCGAAGCACTTTGTGAACCTCCACGCGCAGATTGCGTGGCAGGCGCAGTACTGACCTCCATGCGCAGAGTTCGTGGCAGGCGCAGCACTTTGTGAACCTCCATGCTGCTCCGAACCTCGACGGGGAAGCTCCGCGGAACGACAGCTGCGAGACGGTCTCGGGTCATAGTCGGATCATGGTCGGATGATCATGGTCGGATCATTCTCGGAATCGTCCCTCCATTGCGATTAGAGTTTTCACTTGTTTCTTGACACGCAGATGTCGTGGCAGGCGCAGCACTTTGTGAACCTCCACGCGCAGATTTCGTTGGGCGCAGCACATTTGTGAACCTCCATGCGCAGATTTCGTGGCAAGCGCAGCACTTTGCGAACCTCCATGTGCAGATTTCGTGGCAGGCACAGCGCTGTGTGAACCTCCATGTGCAGATTTCGTGGCAGGCACAGCACTTTGTGAACCTCCATGTGCAGATTTCGTGGCAGGCACAGCGCTGTGTGAACGTCCAAGTGCAGATTTCGTGGCAGGCACTGCACTTTGTGAACCTCCATGCGCAGATTTCGTAACAGGTGCAGCACTTTGTGAACCTCCATGTGCAGATTTCGTGGCGAGCACAGCACTTTGTGAACCTCGAGGTGCAGATTTCGTGGCAGGCACAGCACTTCGTGAACCTCCATGTGCAGATTTCGTAGCAGGCGCAGCACTGTGTGAACCTCCATGTGCAGATTGCGTGGCAGGCGCAGCACTGTGTGAACCTCGAGGTGCAGATTTCGTGGCAGGCACAGCACTTTGCAGATTTTGTGGCAAACGCAGCGCTTTGTGAACCTCCATGTGCAGATTTCGTGGCAGGCGCAGCGCTTTGTGAACCTCCATGCGCAGATTTCGTGGCAGGCACAGCGCTTTGTGAACCTCGGGGTGCAGATTTCGTGGCAGGCACAGCACTTTGTGAACCTCCATGTGCAGATTTCGTGGCAGGCACAGCATCTGTGGAGCTGGAAGCTGAGAACTGGCGACTTTGTAGTACATCTTTAGTACACGGAGTATCTGCGGAGCTGGAAGATGAGAGCTGGCGACTTTGTAGTACAACTTTAGTACGCAGAGTATCTGTGGAGCTGGAAGCTGAGA